GTTGGAATTTCACAAAGATGCCGACAAATTATTTCTCCACCATGGACGCCACCTTCTTTGGAGGTAGACTTTATATTTCCAAGGGCTATGATTCTGTCTACGTTCTTGATGCACCTACTGCTACTTGTTGGAGGCAAATCCCATTCTCTTCCGTGATGGCGTCACTCGTGGAGGACGACCGCCACTACTATCGCACCTTTTTCCACTTGTCCCACCTCAGCGGTCGCCTCCTCGTCATCTTGCGCTGTTTCGTCGAGAATGATCGTAACCACGTCACCTTCCACGTATTCAGATTAGTATTACCTGAAAGAGATCATGGCGGCCGTGATTATGATTGGGAAGAAGTGAATAGTTTGGAAGGAAATGCTCTCTTCTTGGGATACTCCCATGAGTCCATCTGCCTGCCTGCTAGCTGGGGCGACCGCATCTATTTTGCGTTTTCTTTCTATTACGGCTATTTTGATCTAGAGTACGCCGACGACTTTGGTCCGGCCAATTGGTACCGGAATGATTGTGGCGTCTTCAATCTCGTGGATGGAAAATTCGAATGTTTTGCTCATCGGAATCGTCACAACCAGAACTACTTTTGGTTCTTTCCTATGCCCTGGCAAGTACTCCTCCTTGCATATATTATACATACATATCTTCCTTGCTCTATGTATTCTTAGTTATCCTTTATTACTAACGTAGCTAGTGAATCAATGCAGGAATATTTGTCAGCTTACTAAGAATCAAGCGACGAATGCCGAGAATTGGAAGCGGTTGCTGCTTCAAACTAGTGCTAACAATACCAGCAGAAGCAAGACTCAGAGTAGTACTAAAACTATCAGCACAAGTAACAACAATAATATTAACAGCGCCAGTACCAATAATCGTACTAGTAATGCACGGGCCATGATAAGGGTAAAAGAAGCAGTAAAGAAGACGAACAAGAAGGTCGAACAACAACGGAATAATAATAGCAAAGTCGATAGCAGATTCTGTAGCAACAGATTTGAAGCTTTGCTACTGGATGAGGATGGAGACGAAGACCCGGCATAGTTCATTGATCAGGAGGGCTTGCTTGCCTCCTATAAATTAATTCAGAGATTTTTTTTTTTTTTTTTTTTGTAGAGAGGTAAGTTTCTTCTATCGTCGCAAGTTTTCTTTTCTTTTTTTTTTAATTGATTTGTTATGAATTTGGGTCTCTGCTTTCGAATTATATATAGTGTTCTCTACATCGTTTTGGGTACGGACTGCTTCTTCCCTTTCATGGGATGACAAGATTTCGACTTCTTTGCTCAATAAAACTGATTTGGAGTTCAATTCCTGATACTTTGCCAGGAGTTGATGGGAATTCGGTTTCATTAATTAGTATCCTCTTTCTTTTTTTTGGAATTCAATTCATATTCTCATTCCTAGAGGTTTGTGTGACCAAGATGTTCGTCTCTGGCAGTGTGGTGGAATCTTTGGTTGGAGCGTCTCGCTAGAATCTTTCGGGATATGTCGTTATCAGAGTTCTCTGTGATCTCAAAGGTCTATTTTGTTGTGATTCAATGGTTATATGTGTATCGTAATAAATCGTAAACGAATCAAGAAGACACACGAGTTTTACGTGGTATTCTCGGTCGATTGAGTGACCGACACTAATCCACGGGAGAGTTCAGCCTCTCCGGCTTTGATCTTATTGAACTGATAATTGTGTTACAGTGGCCGTATGGCCTATACAAGGTTTATATAGGCTAGACCTTTCTTCACATAGGGCTTTACATGTAGAAGAAGGAATACAAGGGAATCTCTCGAAAGTACTCCTTGCCATGCAGAAAGGACGCCTCAACTGGACTGGCCGACTTGGATTGGGTCCCGAGCAGTGACTGGGACATGGTCCGCTCGGTGTCTCTATCCAATATATCGAAAATTGGGACGTGGTGAAATGATTACATGGCTACGTCGTTTAGGTATTGGTATAGCTCGATTATGAGGCTAGCACATCTCCCTATTTGTGATTTTGGTATGGCGATGTGTTTAACTGCCTTTTTCTTGTAGTTGTATTTGGTTTACACTAGTTGTGTAAATCGACTCACTTTTCTTGGCTTTAGCCAATATTAATGAAAGAAATAGTCGCCTTCTTTAAAAAAAACACGACTAGATATGGTTGAGTTTCGTAAGGTTTTGGCAATTTCAAAATCAGATACGCATGTACCAAAATGAGTGACAGACAGAGGGCAAAAGTAGGGTTGACAAGCAAGTAATGGTACATGATGTTTGAGACTTGAGAGAGTAGACAATTGTGTGTGAAGTAAGTAAAAACAATTCTTCTCCTTCTTCTTCCAAAGTTCTCAAAAGATTAATTTTTAGATGTAATCAGGACCCAAAAAGATTAGATCAATTATTAACTTCTTTAGTATATACAAGTTTTCAAAGCTAAAAGTGTTGGTCAATGCAAGATGAAATGGTTGGTATATGAACATCTAATTTATGATATAGTGGATACTCTTATTATTTGACTAGCTTTTTACCTGCCCGTTGGGCGGTGTGTTTGTTTGACACAACCCTCATAACTCTTTTTTTCATTTAGCATACAAGGAACCAGTCTGTGATAGACCTCCAAGAAAAAAGATCAATTATTCAACCCAGAGAGAGATTCTCTAACAGATCGTTTGGTACTAAATGAATCGAGAATTCATTTCATTTTAAAATGAATTACTGTGTAGAATTCATTGTAAAATAAATTCTTCTGTTTGGTATGTCATGTTCAAATATTTAGAAATGAAATGAATTCTCAAATCATGTTTGGCTACATTCGGAATTGAATTAAATTAAAAGTTTCCAACTACGCCCTTATTAATTTCCATCAAATCGAAATAATATATAGCTCACGGTATGGAGGATTGAGATATAGTAAACGAATAAAAAATATACCATGGTTCCTTTATTGCAATACGTGATGGATGTGTGGAGTTTCCATTGCAAAAATCAAATTTTAAAGAAGCAAATATCCAAATTGAAGGGATCTGCCTTGAGCCTTGAATAAACAGCCGAACAACTTTTTAAAGAAGTTCTTAACTTCAAAACTTGGATGATTGATTGCTTGATTCCAATTATGAGGTTATACGGATCGATCAACCTCAGACACTAAAAATAAACAAGGACCCATACAACCAAATCAAAATTGGGAGAATCACATCCATATGCATATATGAAACGTTGAAAATCAATATTCTAAAAAATGCAAGTGATAAAGTTATTATCTAACCAATATGACAAAACAAAAAGTTCGAAAAAAATAGTAAGTAGTTTGAAGCTCCATCTTCTAAAGATCTTCATTGTAACCCATTTTTCTCTTGAGCCAAGCGAGTTTGATCTCCTCATCACAAGCAAAGAACCTTTCAACTAGATGCTCATTGTCCTTCAAAAAATCAAGTGCCTCCATAACTTCCCATTTGTCTAACCCCAATTTTTTTAACTCGGCTGAAAGCTCAGTAGCCGTATATATCCGTTGATTGCTATTTTTATGGCACTAGCAATTTCTTTCATCGAAGATGTTACCTGCATAATCTCTTCAGCAATGGTACTGGACATAGATCTCTTTCTTTTGGTTCCTTTGGTAGACTCTTTCCCGAGCCGCGCTTTAACTTCAACATTAGTTGGTGGTACCGCTACTCCTGGAACTTGGCTAGCTTCTGGCACTAATGGATCAAGGTGAATCTCATCGTTGGCCAGCATCCTATCAATATCATCAATTCCCAACTCTAATTCAACATTGTGGTACTTAGTAAAATTTTCCTTAGCACTCATGGCAGCATCTCCATTTGCTCGATCTTTCTCGAATAATTCTCGGGCATTCTCTAAAAAATGAAGTTCCTTATCCCGAATCAAATTGTAATCAGGATTCATCTGAGAAAACAGTTGACAAAATAAGTGAAAAATGAAAAACATCATTATTCTTAAGTACTAACATCAATCAAGTAACATTACCTTTATTATAGTATCCCAAACACTTGTAGCAGCTTCAATTTTTTTGGTCGTATCATTCCATCCGTAGCCACTCTTTTTATCTAAGACCTCAATGGCAAGCCCCATTTGCTTTTGGATAGTCTTTAGCCTGTTAACTGCCTTTGTCTTATCGATAGTTTTACCATACTTTTTAAACCCCAAATTTAACCCAGCAATGACGGTAGTCCAAGCAGCTTTGTTGAATTGCTTATCATCCTTATTTCCTTTGGCCTTTTCCTCCTTTAGAAGGTCCAAAAGAAGTTTATCCATCTCCTTTGGCCACCTAAGGTATTTGTCAGTCTTTTGAGGATTGGTGTTCAAAATTTGGACTTCATCTTCACCAGCTGCCATCATCTATTTGAACCATTAAACAAATACAAAATACGAACTAAGTAGATGCAACAACTTCCATTGAAGACAATAATATTCAATGTAAAAGACAAAAAGTGCTTCAAGAACTATGACAAACACATTTAGGAGCTTGTGACTAGCATCTCAAACATAGTGACTCCACATCTGGAATGCTATATTATCTCGAATTTTTTCTGCGATCCTAGCATCTGCGTCTCTATTTTCAGATCCACTCTCTTCTCCTTCGACATTATTTTCCATCAATTCTTTATCAACCTCACGAAGAATATCTTCATTGGGATCATACACCAAAAGAAAGTTATGCAAAATACAACAAGCAAGCACAATTTCAGAACGTGTGTTGACATCATGATGAGCTTCTGAACCACTAGCAATAACGGGAAATCTCTTTTTCAGGACACCAAAAGCCCTCTCACTTGCATTACGCAATGATGCATGTCGAAGATTGAATAACTCCTCTGACATCACAGGAGGACAGTGAGAATAATCTTTTAAATGATATCTTGTGTTTCGGTACGGCGTGATAAATCCAAGCCTCAAAGCATAGCCCGCATCAACCAAGGAAAATTTACCTATATTCAAATAAAATAATAGTTTTTAATAGAGTACTAGCTCATTAACAAAATGAACAAGCACTTTTTTTTTATCTCTCACTACCACCTACCTGGAGGAACTTTTAGTTTGTCATCTCTTGTTAAGGCATTCTCCAATATTCTTGAATCAGAAGCTGATCCTTCCCATCCCGCCAAAACATAGGTGAACTTTAGGTCAAATGTGCATGCTGCTAATATGTTCATTGTGGGGATTCCTTTCCTACCCCTATATTTTGGTGCTTTTTCTTGTGAAACTTTAGCACGAACGTGGGTTCCATCAATAGCACCAACACAATCCTATACTATCTAATTATGTTAGTACACCAAAATTCTACACTTTTTAACTTATATCAATTGAATATTACTAATATATATTTACCTTAAAGTATGGATAAAACCGGCCTTCACTATCCGATATCTCTGGAGGGACTATAGATCCATTCGGTTGAACCAAAAATGCCGCTTCTAATGACAATATGGCCTTGAGGACTCCATGAAAATGACGACTGATCGTCTCTCCGCTCCAGCGAAAGAAGAAATTAACTACGCGATTTCTTACATTATGTGCTAATTTATATAGAAATAGTGCAACTTGCTCTTCAACTGAACTATTTTTATTATCATTCAACAAGTTTCTCTCCCTTAGTATATGAACTAATGTTTTGAACGCCTTTGGTCCCATGCGTAGAATATCAAAAGTGTTCTTGTGTGTTTCTATTCTATTCATTAGCTCTTTTCTAATACTTTGTCGATGAACCCTATACTCCAGTTGTGGCTTTTCAACATACTGATATAATCGAAGAAGAAATATCAAATAACCAGCATATGCTGCTAGCGTTCCAATCAAATTTTTGTAGTCATTCGTCATACTGCATGCATAATAATAACATATAAACTATAATATACACATATACACATGAATATCGACAATATGAGCATAACAAAAGAAGAGACAGTAACATGAAAAAAAACATAAAGTGATCTCAATAACAACCTCACGAAGAATATCTTCATCGGGATCATACATCAAAAGAAAGTTATGCAAAATACAACAAGCAAGCACAATTTCAGAACGTGTGTTGACATCATGATGAGCTTATGAACCACTAGCAATAATGGGAAATCTTTTTTCATGACACCAAAAGCCCTCCCAATTGCATTACGCAATGATGCATGTCGAAGATTGAATAACTCCTTTGACTTCACAGGAGGACAGTGAGAATACTCTTTTAAATGATATCTTGTGTTTCGGTACGGCGTGCTAAATCCAAGCCTCAAAGCATAGCCCGCATCAACCAAGTAAAATTTACCTATATTCAAATAAAAGAATAGTTTTTAATAGAGTACTAGCTCATTAACAAAATGAACAAGCACTTTTTTTTTATCTCTCACTACCACCTACATGGAACAACTTTTAGTTTGTCATCTCTTGTTAAGGCATTCTCCAATATTCTTGAATCAGAAACTGATCCTTCCCATCGCCAAAACATAGGTGAACTTTAGGTCAAATGTGCATGCTGCTAATATGTTCATTGTGGGGATTCCTTTCCTACCCCTATATCTTGGTGCTTCTTCTTGTGAAACTTTAGCACGAACGTGGGTTCCATCAATAGAACCAACACAATCCTATACTATCTAATTATGTTAGTACACCAAAATTCTACACTTTTTAATTATATCAATTGAATATTACTAATATATATTTACCTTAAAGTATGGATAAAACCGGCCTTCACTATCCGATATCTCTGGAGGGACTATAGATCCTTTCGATTGAACCAAAAATGCTGCTTCTAATGACAATATGGCCTTGAGGACTCCATGAAAATGACGACTGATCGTCTCTCCGCTCCAGCGAAAGAAGAAATTAACTACGCGATTTCTTAAATTATGTGCTAATGTATATAGAAATAGTGCAACTTGCTCTTCAACTGAACTATTTTTATTATCATTCAAAAAGTTTCTCTCCCTTAGTATATGAACTAATGTTTTGAACGCCTTTGGTCCCATGCGTAGAATATCAAAAGTGTTCTTGTGTGTTTCTTTTCTATTCATTAGCTCTTTTCTAATACTTCGTCGATGAACCCTACACTCCAGCTGTGGCTTTTCAACATACTGATATAATCGAAGAAGAAATATCAAATAACCAGCATATGCTGCTAGCATTGCAATCAAATTTTTGTAGTCGTTCCTCATACTGCATGCATAATAATAACATATAAACTATAATATACACATATACACATGAATATCGACAGTATGAGCATAACAAAAGAAGAGACAGTAACATGAAAAAAAAAACATAAAGTGATCTCAATAACAAAGGAAACACATATTATATATAAACCTAATCTCATTATAATCTCATTAGCAGCAGATCGTGTAGATATAAAAGAGCTTTGAACCATGTAACAGAAACAATACCCATCAAAGAACCGCAAAAGAAAAACACATAAATAAAACTAACCTTCTTTGTGGCGTGATTAATACAGAATTGAAGAAGAGGGGAGTTGCGCCGGCAGCTTGGTGACTTGGGAGTCTCCGATGAAAGTAGGGTTTAGTTATAACCACATAGCTGAATATAGGGTTTAATATACCCGGCTGAAGAAACTAAGTACGCGCGCAAAATTGTTTACGCGCCAAACTAATATACAAGTAAGTAAATTAATGAATAATTAAGGATAATTATGTACTTTTATTATAATTAGTAAAATATCTGTGGAATTCATTTGGAAATTCCATCTCAATTCCTCGGAATTGCTATAACTAGCTCCAATTTCGTAGAATTCAAATTTTAGAATTGAAAATGAATTCTTTTATATACCAAACACAAAAAAAAATTCATTTCAATATGAATTCCTCAAATTTTATGGAAATCATTTATACCAAACGGTATGTAAGTCCCAAGAATTAACCCTTCCAAATATTTATTACCTATTTTCATAAAAGTATAAGGCAAGAGAGAGAATCGTAAAAACTACTTGGAGATAGTAGCAAACCAAAAAATTGCATTGATTGGAAATTTAATATTGTTATTAACACAATTTATGTTTAATGATGATGCATTAAAGTGTACAAAAAAATTATTATTATAAGTTGTTCAGATAGGATGACTGAGAGCCAGCCATGTGCTTATGTGGCACTACTTTAGTTTTGAATTCCTATAACATTAAGTAAGGATATTTGACAATAATCCCACAAACAGTGTGATCAAACTAAAATCACTATTGTGTGTTATTGTAGTAAAAGATCAACAGATGATTACAGATCATATAATAAGGGTAAGCATTCCCTCTGGGAAAGCACAACCCATCTCCCCCGTCGCCTCATCTAGCTCCTCCTCCTCATCAAAGTTGTAGTCCGCGTCCATAAAATCAAACGCAGCTAACGGCGGCGAAGAAGAATTCTATAGCATTCCGGAGTGCTGCTGGATCAATTTTTGGCGATTGAGTATCAACAATTGGAAATTGAAGAGATTAATAAATGGGTTTGAGAAAAGAAATGAGAATTATAGAAGAAGAGGAAGAAGATTAGAACATGCTAGAAGGAGAAGAACAGAGACAGAGCAGAGGAAGGAAGAAGAGAAGAGATAGAGAAGAAGGAAGCAATTTTTATAGATTGAATTCGATACTGAGTTCAATACAGGAGGGTCCTATTTATACTTGTTACACAATTACATTCCACTCCCTATTCTTAATGAGTTTGCATCACAATATCGTTTGTTACAACTATACTCGCCATGAAAACAACCTTGTCCTCAAGGATGAAGAACAATTGAAAACAAGAAAACCCAAGACACACAAGTAGAAAAGCTACTGGACATCTCTTCAGCAAACAACCCACAACAACTAGCTCCCAATGCCTTCCGTCCACACACGAACCCTTTTAAACCCAGCAACCAGCTCACAATGGCCTGCCAGTTGCAATATAGACAACCACACACATTGTCATGCCTTATGATTCGAACTTTATAGGGCTCCTTGAAGTCAAGACACATTTCTCTTCCGTGAGACATCTCACAAACCCCATAGTAAGTGGGAAATTTTTTATATCCATGATTCCAGCTAACATTGTGCAATTCCATAACGCAACCAATGAATCCAAGATCAGACCCACCATGGTAAGGGTCGCCAAAAACAAAATCGATGATTTCCCCATCCAAGCTCGTGCCCTTGGAAACCACATATGGACTTAACTTCACAGTAATCGAACCCATCACATTTGTATATTGAACAAAATCAAAACAAAATATAACTTTCTCGATCAATGCTATCAAATACCCCTTTAGTTTAGTTTGATAGACAATCAAGTCATTACCGGCAAAAGACACAATATCATCCTCTTCCACAACCTGACTTCCCTTAGCCGTCTTTGCGGCATTAGCAAGAATATAGGCTATCATTTGGTTAGAATTACCTTTTGCTGCTAGCACCATTGACGCATAAGATTTGTTAGCAACATCCTCCAAAACTGTAGAACCGACATATTCACTATCAACATAGGTTTGCTGCCCATTTGCCTGATATTGAGGTTCTACCATATTTTCTTTCTTTCCTGCTAGCTACTTCTCCTGGTCTAACAAGTGACTTCCATTCTCTGAAGCTTTGGTAACCTTTATCATAACAGGAGTTGCAGAAATTTCAGGAGCTAGCACTTGTGAAACTGTCCTATAGTTTTCCAAACAGCCAACTAAATGATTATTAAGATTCTGGGAAAGAGAACATGCAAGACCATCATCACTGCTGATTGCAATATGCTCAATAGCTACAGCTAAGTCATCATTCCCAACCTTGTCTTCTGTGGTTGAAACAAGTGCAGTCATTACATGTTCATCTCTAGTCACCACACTCACTTCTGGATATGAACCCTTAGTCTCTGCTACTACCACACTGCCTACATACTCCATATTTACACCTTCGAACACTCGAGTCAAGTTGACATTGTCTTGTTCTACCTCACGACCAACTTTGATCTCAGTCCCGTTCCTATCCTTTTGATTAATCGCAGCTGATGTTGATGACCCTACAATTGCCCCTATCACGCACCATCCAAAGCGTGCGCACACTGCTACTACAAACTCACTCCAAACCCTAACCGAATGGCAATAACTCCAGGTATGAAGCATAGCTGCAGTGGTGAGGATCATTGAAGAAGGAAGAAGAAGACCCAGCAGCTGTACACAGACTGATGATAAACCCAACCGGATCGGGCTTCCTTTCACCCGACTCGGCTATGGATACCAGCACATAAATAAGAGACCAAACGGCGTCGTCCCACTACACATTTGAATTGTAATTAGCAATAGTTGTTAGACACGTAGCGCCTTGTCATTGGTTGTTTTGATTGTTAGTTTCTCTTAGCCGTTAAACTACAGTAGAATCCCTTTCTCTGTAATTAGCTCTGTGTATATATTTGGATCAATGGAAAATGGAGAAGGTAACTTTGCCGATTCCCACAATCTCGGCTTCTCTTCTTCCCTAAAACCCTAGCACCACATCCTCTAGGTCACAAACATTCTTATGGTATCAGAGCCTGGTTGGCTCATACCAGCTTGATTTCTGATCTACCCTCTTCTTCTTTCTTCTTCTTTGACACAACACCATGGCTGACGGAACTTCAGGAGAAAAGACTGACCGCAAAGAGAAGGAGATCTCTCCACCACGCTACGAGGATCCATATTCC